ATCTCGCGGTCCAGCTCAGGGCATTGTCCCCAGGCGTTGCTGCGATCCGCGATCGATACGGTCTACAGACCGGCTCAAACAATCTTTCGACGCGTTACTACGTACCGCGATCGACACGGTCAACAGGCCGATTTAGAATAATATTTCGACGCGCCGTCCGTGCAGTGCGAGCGCGACGCGACAACGATCGCTTGCGAGAAGTTTTCGAACTTGAATAAATACTTTAATAAACGTTTACGCGAAAAGACAGTGTGTGAATTTAATTATTCCCCGCTGAACTACAAAACAATTTCAGATTGGAAATAATCCGCAAAAGTAATATTAAAACCAACTATAATTTGTTCGGAATTAAAACCGATTATTTTTTAATCCGGGCGCGGATTGAACCGATTAAAATCGATCAAAACGGATTATGTTTTAATCGGTTTTAATCAAACATTTTCAGCAGGGTTGATCTGGCTGTTGATTTTGACTGACTTGGTAAGCATATATTTGCGTGCTTGTATGACTGATCAAATGATCGGTTACAAGAGCGGCTTCTTTCTGACCCGCTGCTATATGAAGGCCCTGAGGATAGTGAGCTGGAACGGTCGTCATTATCTGAAATTAAAGCGATGAAGATGATAATCTTGTCCTATTTATGGACGTACACGACTTTGTCATTTGGTTGAACGAGTACTTGACTACGCTCAATCAAAGTTTTTTTTTGTCGTCTCGACTAAGGATAGTGACTTGCACTGTTTCCAGTATTCATGTAAAAAACATTGTCTTTCAGCGGAAACTTGTCCGCAAGTGGCCCTGCCACTTTTAGGATTCGTGAGTACTTGACTGCACTTACCCATTTAACAACGAGAATTACTTTTAGTCGTCTCGACTAAAGGATGATGACTTGCATCGTTCTCGATTATGTGTTAGTTTGAAAACTTTGTTCTCCAGCGGAAGCTTGTCCGCATTATTTGTACACATAAATATTGCGTCAGAATATCGAATATCTATTCGATATTTTATTCACGATTGCCGAGATAGAAATGTCCTGGCGGTTTTGCCGCGCTTTGTTCTGTAACTAAAATAAGGTTATGCTTACGTTTCTTTTGTAGACAATGAACTGCTTTTTTCTATTTTTTAAGTTTTTCCTTTAATCGCTTCAACTTTTTAGTAAGTTTATTTTCTTTTCCTTCACTAGACGATTTTCGCTTGTATCCCACTTCCATTTGATTTTTTGCATACAGTCCGATAACCTTTTGGTGGCTTTCCTTTTGGCACAAAGAAAAGGAATGAAGATGGAAGACCGGATGCAGCGGACCGCGGAGAGGTAGATATCCGGAAAATCTTACTATAAACCTTATGCCGGTACATAGGGCAGGTACTACATATGGTGATTTTACGATCTGAGAAGAAGGCGCGCAGTACAATTAGGCCATTAAATCCCGCAGTTGTTTTATTCTGTCCCAGTAACCTGGTGATGCGGACTGAGATAGAGGAGCAGACGGCTGGGGAGATTGATTTGTACAAATCCCTTCCGAATGCAACGATGTATTATCAGCAATTTCAAATTAATCTTTTGTTGAAGGAGGACTTGGGAGCAGCAACCCTTGTATTGCGATATCAACAGATTGATGCACTGTGCACGGGTACGCAACGGCGTCAATCCAAGACTAGTGATTAGTTCTTGTAGTTCTTTTAATGTTTTCTTCGCAAGTTGTTGTCGATCATGATTATCGATTACACTGAGAGTAATTGTCCAATTAATCTAAACGATGGCCACACAAACGTAAACCAATTGCAAATGGCGGTTGCGGGAAGAAGAACAATATGGCGACGAAAACGGATGATGCAACACCGGTATATGGTGGTACACGATGCACTAATCTGATAAAGTACGTACAAATAATGTTTCAGATTGAAGAGTGACCAAGCAGAGCCGGCAGCCGAAAGCGAAGGCACGATACCGCTAAGAAACGATGTCGAGAACGCAAAAATCGCAAGGAACTGTACTGCATAAATGCACGTACGACACGGAACAGTGTTAGATTATTAGTTCTTACAACGTCATTTTATTATTCAATTTAAATTTACCGCGCAATTTGAATAGATAGTTATAGAGTTTATTTCAGTTTACTTTTCTATTCATGGCGTTAGGGTGCGTTCGGATTCCACACCCGTGTGCTCCCCGGCACTCAAAGTCGTTCGTATTCCCTCTGAGTCCCCACCAATGTTACTAGACGGTGCGTTCGGATTTCCATTGGGTGCCACACGGTGTGGCTCCGGGAACCGGATAGGATATAGTAACAGTTGTGTGATAGTAACAAACCGCGAATTGACTAAGAAATAGCACGATTGATGGAATGTGTTCGACGTTCTTTCTGTTTTATAGTTTCGAGTCCGAGTTTTAAAGGGCGTTATATAATCTTTTGATAGGTTTACGGCTTTATGCTTAGGAGTAGAACTAGTAAAAGCCACGAAAAGAAAAAAATTTTGCCTTTATGTATTAAAATAATTATTTATTTTATTTTATTAGTATTTTTTATTTAATTAATAATAATTACTTATTTTTCCTTTGCAATTTGTTTTAAATATGCCCTGCAATATACTACCGGTATAAAATTTATAATGAAAAATGATATGTTAACAAAAATTAAAATTAATTATTAATGCTCATTCATTAATTATTAATGTTCACCTATCTATGCTCGTTATTACTAGAGAATCTAGAGACGCGTTCATGTGCCCTCCTGGCTCCAATCACCGTTCGGATTCCCTGTCACCTGAGTGTCTTTTAATAACTAGACCCCACTCTCACCGGTCACACAGCAGCCACATACTGAGGGAGGAATCCGAACGCACCCTTAGAATCAAATTTGGTTAAGTTGGCAACATTTTGTTTTCCCTATTTTTCACCGCATTAACGATTCCTTTGTAATACAAACGGTCACAATAAAGAAAGTTCTCGTACAGATCGTATATTCTGTGAGTAATTCTTTAACAAAGAGAACACGAAGTCTGCACTAGGAAAGCAGGAGATGCTTTTTCGTACATTCCAGAAGTGTGCAATATATCCCACTTCTGAAATATTGAGGCTGTAAAGCGGGGAAAGGATTTTAAAAGAATCGCTTTGCAGGCCGAGATATTTACAGGAACATCGTGACTAGGAGACTTGTCTTGCTAGAGAAGGTTCGTAATGACCAAGGAACCCAGGTGTCAGGGTGAAGTTTTAGGAAACCTTGGGGAAAAGAGAGCGGCATAGATATAGCGCAGAATACCTGTTTTGTTTTTAAGAAAAACTTTATTTCTCTTACGAGACGAACTAGCCAGAAGTTTAACAAAGACTGTCCCACTGACTTCCTGGAATCCGACGCGAAAATCCCTTCCTTTTTCCTTATTAACCAATCAGTCGCGTCGGTCTTTTGACTAATCAATGCACGCAACGTTATGCGCTCGCAGCGCACGAAATGGAGATGTGTACTTGACAAGCCGTGAAACTTAAATTTAAAAGCAAGATTCTAGTTGCGAATTTAAAGTAGCCTTACAGCAGATTTTGTCGACAGAATGTAAACAGAATGCAACCTCAGATTAGTTCATGCTGTTAACATTTTCTGATGCCGGTCTATTGACATTTTGCTAGCATTTTGCTGATTGGGTAAATTATTTAAAATAACGAAATTAATCGAAAAGAAATCGAAAATCGAAATATTTAATAAAAAATATTTCTTTGTAATAGTAGCCCAAGGAGAACAGAAAAGTCAAAATAATATCAATTTGACGTCAAATTGACCGAATTTACGTCATTTTTTACATTATGATTAAAATCTAGATTTCAAATGACTAAAGAATGACTTTATATTGACTTTTTTTATAGTGTCGATCTTTTTGATTTTTAGAAAAATGTGAACGTTTCTTGATTGTATA